GTTAGAAAGATGCCTTGTAAAACGCCCGTAATCGTCCGTGCGTCTAGCATTTTCCGTATTTGTCATTATACTAGTTACTTTGATATCGACTCAGTGTATCATGTTATCTTGTTGATGTTTAATGAAGCTCTCCTAGGTCCTCCTGGACCCAGTTTCTGTTAAAAGAAACCAAACAAAACATCAAGCATTTTCCAAATTTCAACTATAATATATAAACGGGTCATATATTTGGGTCAAATTCAATAAGTAGAAAGTTTAAAATTATTGACTACTAAACCTACTAAGTTGTGATATATGAACAATATATGTATAAATAGAAATAATTACTTCAGGTATTTCCAGCCCACGAATCGAGCTGGCCACTTTGCAAGTTCTCATCAATAAAAACACGTGAAGGAAAAAATTATTTTACAAACAAAATGTGGATGCCTCACATGTACTAGAGGTTTTACAAATGTCGCACGCTCTCAAGGACACTTTTCACATATATGTAAAATACATTACTTGCACGTGGGCAATATAACAACTTACAAGCCAAGTGTCTTCCAGTTCTACAATAGAGAACACACACAGGAGATTCATGCATTTCTTATTTGCTAAGTAATAGATAAAAATAAAACACCCAGGATAGATGCAGATAAAAAATAGAACACCCAGGATAGAAGCATTTTCATCTGCAGTTTACATGTAATGTGAGCCTAATATTATATTTCCCGCTTCTTCAGTATCATTGTGAGACCATTCTTCATCTGCAGTGTACAAGACAGCTTCGGCTGGATGCTCTGCCCTTCCACCAGCTCCATATCAAAGTTCCAAACTACCGCTGCCACCACAGTTGCCAGCTGCACAACAGCGATTTCCTTTCCGGGGCACATCCTCGGGCCTGAATTGAAGGACAAGAACTTGTGAGATGGCACATATCTCAGCTTGTTGCCGTCTTCGGAGAGCCACCTATCTGGATTATAGTCCCGACAGTCTTCGCCCCAAATGGCCTCCATTCTCGCCATGGAGTGGAGAGAAATAAGGACAGTTTCGCCGGCATGTACCTGATGACCACTCGGCATGATGGCATCTGCAACAACAGTCTTGCGCTCTATTGGTATTGGTGGGTACAATCTGAGTGTCTCGTACAAGACAGCTTTCAGATAGACCAGAGATTTGGTCTCCTCTGGCTCAAATATAACCATGTCACTTGTACCTGTTGCTACTTTGTGTGATGCAATGGGTGAGAGTTCATTGCGCATGATTGAAATGATTTTAGGGTTCCGAGTAAGGCTGTAGAACATCCATGGCAGGGTAAACCCAATTGTGTCCCTCCCACCGAACATGATGCTAAGGAGCTTTGCACGGAGCACGTCATCATCGGCGTAGTCTGGGTCGTTGATGTAGGAAGACAGGACATCCACACGCTGTTGCTCCCCATCATTACAAAGATGTCCCCCATTGACCCTTTTCCTCTCGATCATCTCCATGAAGAACCTTCGTATCACCCTATGAGCCATATTGAGCTTTCTCTCGGGGCCGATGTTCAACCACCTCATAGCCTTCCAGCAAGAGGCCGGCACGATGTGCCGAAAAAGGGCTACATCCATGACAGTGTCCATGGCAACCGCAACCTCCATAGGCGGCATGTCCGGGGACAAGAGGCTAGGGTCGACGCCGAAGAGAGGCGTGGCGGCCAGGTCAAACACAAACCTCGCAATTACTTCTTGCATGTCAAATGGCGTGCTGCTACTCGCCATGTTGGTAAACAAGGGGAGGAGGCCATTCTTTACCTTGTCATGGCAGCAAGCCACCATACTGGCCACCAACCGTGGGCTGCTGATCACGCTCTGGAATTTCGCACGCTGCAGACGCCATGACTCACCGTCGACTGTGAAGATGCCTCGATCCATGCTGTTGAAGATAGCTGCAAACTCCGGGCCCTTGGGGAAGTTTGTGTGGTTTGTTGTGAAGATGTGCCGGATGTTTGCAGGGTCGCAAGTCAGAAAGATGTTCCTCTGTGGAATAGGTAAGCTAAAGTTGTGTCCTGCTTGGGCGAGATTCGCGGTGAAAAAATCAAGCAAGTTATGCAGGTTTGCAACGATTGCAGGCAACATGTGCACGATTGGCCAGTTTGTGGACGGCTCTGAGGACTTTTTTGATCTAATAGTAGACCTGAAGTATAAGTAGACCGAAACAAGAAGAATGAGCAACATGGAAATGAGCAGCTGTTGCGAGAAGGAAATCGACATTGTTATCAACAGTGTGTGACATGCAAGATGTAAGGCTTGTGCTGCAACGGACATGGCCATGGCTTCATTTATATAGTAGTAGCAGCGATGTGCGCCGGTCTTCACATTGCACAAGGCCGTTAAGGTACAAGCATCGATGTGCACACGTTTCACATTGAATAGTGTACCTCGATCAAGCAGTAATTGGCCTAGCTACTACCAGATTTATGCTACAACTCTAACTCTTGAAAATAAAATGCGTATAGATTCTGTGTGAAGCCAAGAGGTGCAAAGTTTATAGGATAACATATCCAAAACTAAAATAATAAGTACATGTAAGGGCATTTTCAACGCCGGCCCCCTAACACCTCCTGTATTTGTCCATTTTTGTGTCCGAAGGTGGTCTGCGGGGAGCCATCCAACGCTAATTACAAAGTATCGGACTAGGAAAAGAAAACGTAGGTGGGGACTATGCATGTAGGTGGGCTATTTGTAGTGTGGTATTGGGTTGGAAGGAAAGAGAGTAGAGGAGACCATGCATGTGAAGAGGCAGAAAAATGAAGAGGACCATGCGGAGGATTTTGGTTGATCAAGTGGATGTCCGGACTCCAGTACAACTCCCCATATTTGTCTCCTCTTTACCGAAAAACGGACATCCAGACCACTTTCCGGGCCGATGCAGAACCGGGCTGGATTGCAAAAGTGAACAAAAGTGTCTGGATAGATATATACCTGAGTTCTGCAGGACTACGCCCTAATGTACTCCCTTTGATACATATTAATTGACGCTGGCCTAATTCAAAGTTTACTTCCTTCGTCTAGATGTATAAGTCCCCCTACAAAAACCAAATAATCCCAAAACACTTTGACGCGGTGTATTAACTTCCATCTCGTTTCTTGTTTCTTAACATATCAACCAATAAGAGATGTTGGACGTGCATGCTTTCAATGACTTGAGACTACCAAACAAGACATGCAGTGATTAGTTCATTGCATGCAATGCTATTAATTAGCAAATAAATATTAAGTTCCCTCCTTCTTGGTTGCGGTGCACAATTTAAGATGACTTATTCACCTGGACAGATGGAGTACTAACTTTGTACGAGACCGGCATAGATTAATAAGGATTTTTTTGAAAAGAGAAATATATTAATATCGCGAAGATCTAATTACACACAGCAACAAATACATCTAGAATGCATGTAGCTCGCAAAGAAAAAAGAAAGAAAGAGAAAAACGTCTTGCCAAAGTGATCAACTCTTCTCAGCATCAACACACAACGACCACCAAAGACAGCACCCGGAAAACATAAAAGGCCTTCAAAAGCGGCGCCTTCAAGAAGAAAACAGTTCACACGCGCCGTCGTCGCCCCATTCAAGATTATAGGTTTTCACTCCGGAGAAAGACCGAACTCTCAAAACAATACCTTCAAGAAGGCAATTGCCAGGCACAACCAAGGAAGACTAGATATTAGGTTTTCACCCTGGAAGTCACGACGCCCGTGTCACCCAGAGCGACGCGGGGGCCTTTCCGTTTTTTCAGGATCGGGACTGTTCAACTCAGATTTCTTCTGGTCTAGATCAATATGGATAGGATGGAATATAGTTTTGAGCTACGTAATACATACTATTTTATTGTATTTTTTAATAAACATACTAATATGGTGTTGTGGTATGGACGAACAAGAACAAGTGTAAGTTCTTAAAATCTAAACCGCTTGCTTTAGACAACATGAGAGGCATAATACCAGACATATACGCATGGGGTGTTATGAACTTATGACGAAGAAAGGTGTGTCGTTTCTTTGTCTACCTTCATACTCCTATCTAGTTAGCTAGGTCTCTAGGCCACCCAATAAATAATCTGTTGGGAAACGGATTAATGAAGGATGCAGTTTGGAGAATCTCAGACCGTTCTGTGGAGGGTGTGGTATGTCAGGAACTCACTCACTCTGCTAAGCCAATGCCCTCCATTGAAGGCTCCCGGTGGTTACTATGCAGTTATATGCTCTGTCTCATGAATGGGATAGTCTACGGAGGAGATCATCAAGGAAAAAGGCATTGCAGTCGGGCGCCTTTCTGGAATCCACTGGAGCGGATGGGGCTGGTATGATCCTTGGGGATGCACAGGGACAAATCGTGTTCTCCTCGTACCGCTCCCTTGAGTGTTGTGGTTCTGCACTGGAAGCCGTGTTGTGTGCCTGCAGCCTTACAATGGAGCCAGTAGGATATGTGGGTGGAGACTAATTCGGACGAGCTTGTAAGCATGACTAACAACAAGTCCCGGGACACCTTGTCAGCAAGGTGCGCACCTCTTGAGCTCAGGCAGAAGTATCTATTAGTAAAATACCACGTGTCCAGAACTATGCCTGCCATCTTCTCGCTAGATTTGGTCGACCGGACGGTCGAACTATGGCATGGTTAAGATCAGGCCCTGAAGAAATTTTAGGCCTTCTCCTTCGGGATTGTAATGTGACTCTTACTTAATTAATACAATCCCCTTTATCCCGCAAAAAAACTATTTAAATATAATAATGTGCAACCATCCTTTTCATCTTTGCATACACCTAAACGAAAAAATGATAGAGCTCCACATACGATATTCAAAGATCAATAATTATCATGGTTTAAGCTTTTGATGCAAAATCTATTCAAAAATAGTCCTCCAATAACCGGTCAGCATTTTTGCATCTGGATTCCAAAACCTCGAGATCGAGCATCCTTACCTCACGCTCAAGGATCCCTACCGCACTTGACACGACATTCTCAAAAGTTGTGTCTTCTTTCTCGCTCTCATGTGTGGCTTCATCCAGCTCAAGTTTAAATAGGACATGCTACTCAGAGGTGTCAGACAGGCAAGCATGCGAGCGAGGAGATGATGTGTGCCTTGGAGCCATTGGTCGCCCCCCGCCATGTAGATGAAGGGAAAGATAGGGTTCGTGCATGTCATAGCCGATGAGTGGTTATGCCTTTTTGTGTCTAGCTGAATTTTTGGTGTTTGTTGTGCGTGAAAAATGATGGGAACATGATGT